GTTTATAGAAAATTTTTGATCATAATTTAAAGTTTACTTACAATTTGTAAATTATAACTTTATTAGAAGTTCAGTCTCAAAGTCGTTCAAATGGTATATTTTTCTGCGCTCGCCGATGTTGCCACAAGCAAATTTTTAAAAAGCGCAAATTTTATGGAAAATATGCATCTTATACAAACATCATACCGTGAAAGCAGCATTTGAATTTTCAACACTGATTGTATCACTTGTATATGCTTACAAAAGTACGCTTTTGAAAAATTACAAACGTCAAAACATGACAATTTCAAAAATGGCATTGACATCAAAATTTAAACATGAAGATGACGGCTTTTATTTTTGGCTGTTTTTATTAAATATAACTTATTATTCGGGTTATGTCGATATAATTATGTATATAATATAATATTATTCGATACGAGGGCGAAAATCCGATTTTCGAACTTGACGAAATTGACAGATTGACAACCGGGACGAAGCGCCGTCGTCTTTCGAAAAACGACACTTTTGTATTGAACCTTGTATTGAAAACTATTATTAAAGTGTCCCCCTTACACATAAAAGAGAGTTTTTAGTCCCCCTCAAATTACGTTGCCCTTAAACGCTAATCGTTATTGTAATCATGCGCAGTGTTAAAAAATAAGGTGTTCAGGCAAATAACATTAAGTGCGTTTTTTTGTTTTTGATACCGCGCTTGTTGCACTCTTAAAATAAACATCACTTTATTGTTTTCTTATCCCGTTTTGTTTTGAAAAGTTTCAAAGTTAGTTTAAGTTTGTATTGTTATTAAACAAAAAGTCGTTAAGATGGAAGAAAACATTGAAGCTGCCTTTCTGCACCGAAATGATCTGAGAGATCACGATTTAATAAGAGGCTTAATTTTACACGACATTATTGACACACCTGTTGTTGAAAACCGAAGAGCTATTTTTAATTCAGAAAATATTGAGCCCAGACATCGCTTTATCAACTTTAGTTTGCAAAAGGAATATATTCCAAACAAATTAAATAAAAATTAAAATTAAAAAAGTTAGGTTATGGGTTAGAAGTTAGAACCTGTCCGTGCGATGTTAGTAGTATTGCCAAAGTTCAAATTAGCCTAAATAATTTATACATAAAATCCGTAATTACGCAATATTGGCGTAAATTAATCAGTAAAAAAGTCTTATATAGATTTACAATACATTTCTTATTGTATTATAGCTCCTTATTTCACTAATAATATTAGAAATAAGTCAAATATGTCAACACGGTCGTTCTGCTTTTTAACGTGATGTTTATTAACGTTACCGCTACTCGTACGTAAATAAAGGATCACGTTATCCTCTAATAACGTAAACGGTTATTTATTTACTAATGCGCATGCTCAGAATAACGGATAACGTAAAACGTGTTGCAATTAAGGGGCCTAAAAACTCCCTAAAATTGACGGCTCTTTCCAATTTTTCATATATTTAACTGCCAGAAAGATATTAAGGGTGGGCAGTTGTGAAATTGACACCCCGTATACTTACTGGTGTAGTGAAAGACACGGCAAGCTTAGAGGAGGATTTGCATTCAGGCATTTTAGGTAAATATGCTTTCAGCCCACGTGTTTTCATTTATGAAGACATTCACCTACATACATAAATCAGGTGGAATAACCTGTTGTAAAGCCGCATTTCTTCCGGAATGGATGGTTATTGTTTAACGAAAATTAAACTTTACAAGCGGAATTCCTGAAAACCTATTGCCAATTACGTGATTAATGGACAAAAGCCTCAATGCCCATTGTGCTGATAATTCGAACAGATTCTTACATAAGCCGACACTCCGATGTGCGAAAAACACACCTCTATGGTCTGTTTAATTCAATTGCACAGTTTTTTAAATTGCGCTCTTAATTAGCATTGTTAGATCAATTAAGAATTTTGTCGGAATCTGTAATTTCTTGTCGTAATTGAATTCATTTCAATTTGTATGTAATCGAAATGCTATTATTTCGTAATAGTTATCAGAAGAATTTAACAAGACGAATACTTGAAATAAGCATATTTTTAATTAGAATTCCGATATTAGTTAATGAGGTAATACACGTTTACTGAAGTTAAGCAGGTTTGTTCTGTTAAGTTGTGTTGTTTACATCAAATTATTTAATAAAAATTTATGCAAGACTTTGCAAATATTGAAAGCAAAATAAAAAGTTGAACGTGAGCATTAAGTGAATTACACGACTTTTTTCCTGTTGCTTGCGATTCAGTTACTGAACTTTAACTTCAGTCCGTCCCAATTTTATATAGTATTAAGCATCGAGTTTTATCAACGTTTTTATGATTCAAATAAAGGCCATATACAGAGAGTCCCGAAATTAGGTGGT